CTCGAGATGGGTAAATTGAATAGCAGAATTCAATCGTATACTACATTAGGTTAGGAATCTTTAATTAAGAATTAATGTGATCAATAGATAAAATTGTTATACCCTAATATTTATCCCATATTTAAATCTTCAATCAACCGTTGTTTGCAAAATTTTGATATTTTCAAATAGTTCAAAGTAGTTAGGTATAAAAAAAATAATCAAAACTATCATAATTCTTTATTTGTTTTTATCAAATATGAGTTAGAAATTTTAGATTAAGACCTAAGATATAGTTACGTGGGAACGATATCCGAACTCAAAGGTCCACTATATTGCTTGTTACCGTACACTTGCGATATTAAAAAAAAAACAAGTTTTTGGCACCGTTGCAGGGAACAATTTACTTTTATTCTTAATTTATTTTATTTTAACTGTTAGTTGATTTGTTTATTTTCTTTTATTTATAGAAAATGTGTTCGTTGTATGCTCCGTACCAAGGCAACGATCTTGAACCATTTGACTCGAAAATAAAATGTACTTTCGGACGAAAACGTGAGGAACATAAGCAAAATCATCAACATCAAATAGCTGATGATCAAAATATTCATATTCATATTCAGCCAATTGGACAAGTTGCTGCAATAGTAGCAACGCAACTGGATCAGTTGTAGGAGCGATGGGAAAATAAATGGAGGATACTTGCCAGTTTTAATGTTCTTGATGCCCATAACCGCGCCAGCGCGCTCCAGTATTGTGTATTTAGATTTCAGGGCAAATAATTTTTATTTAAGAGTAGAGTGTATCAATTTGATGAGGAACATTCCCCAATTCTACGGGCTACCTCATGAAAATTTAAACACACATCTCTATATTTTTCAGAAATTGTCAGAACTTCCATTCTCTTGGAGCTAATGAAAATGTGATTAAGTTGAAATTATTTTCATTTACACTGAGAGATGCTTCATTGGAGTGGTTAGACGTAGGACCTCATGGAAGCATTACTATATGGGAAGAACTAACTAGAAAATTCTGCAACAAATTCTTCCCACCAGCGAAAGTAGCTGAAATCAGATTGAAAATTCAAACTTTCTGATAGAAAGATGGAGAGAGCTATCACGATGCATGAAACAGATTCAAAGAACTAATGCGAAAGTATCCAAATCATGGAATCACAATAAGTAATCAAATGCTTCTACACCGGACTCTCACCACTGTCAAAATTCCATGTGGATTCCTTTTGCTGGTGGATCGATCATAGGAAAATTAGGACAACAAACCATGGATTTATTTAAGTTAATTGTCACTACACATTCAATATTTTCATCACAAAGAGTGGTATCACCGAGAGTGATTACGCCCAAAGTGTTACGCGGTAATTGTAGCACAGTTTTGGGGTGTCGTATCCACATGGAGATGGAAAAGTGATTCAAGGGGTTCAATAACTTTGGGTTCTCGTGAATTTGATGAAGTGAGTTTGTTTATTGCATTCAAATGTAAATGTCGCCGGAAATAATGATGAAATTTAATATTATATGTAAAATAGTGAAGTTTTGGGGTTCTCTCAATTAGATTGGATC